ACAATATGGTAGCGCTCTTCACAGAGAGAAGGATTCTTTAAGTTCCTTTTCAGAGCATAGGGATACACTTTTTGTAAGGTATAATTTTTATTAAAGAAAAAAGTGGCGAAAAATATACTGAAAAGATGTTGCAGAAAAGAGACAAATAATACAACAGCAAAATTAAAAAAAGGAAATAAGAATAAAATAAAATTTAGCAAAGTCCTGGGTTGTTTGGGTTCCAGCAGAGTGCACTTATTGAAACATAGAATGGATCTGAGAGTGGCTCTCTAGAAACAAGTCTCTTAGCAGATGTTCTTTTCTTGATGGTAAAGGAGATCTCCAGCTGCCTCATGCAGCAGCTTTTTGGTCTTCTAGAGGGCATCACTGAGCCAGCCCACACCCAATCAGGAAGACCCAAGGGTGTGAGGCATGAGGGCTAGAGAACTTTATGATATTTCACCTGGCAAACCCATAATGTCCATTTTCTAAATACAGCCATATGTTTATTCACTCACATGCTACCATCTAATAAACCATAGATTATTGTAGGCTATGAAATTAGCTTTTTATACATATGACATACATATGACATACCTGTGGTGTATGGTACCCTCAGAAGGGGTAATGTGTGTCTCTGGCCCTCTGTACCTCATACGACAGGGGTTCATGGTATGTATGCGACCAATGTTTCATGGTGAAACATTTGCTTTGACCAAGTACGGGTCAGACCCACTGCCCCCACACACATAAATCTCGAGCACACATGTTAAATAAACTTGTTGCTCTTTCCCCGCTACATGATACCCTGTGGCCTATAAAGCTTGACATGCAGCTGAATCATCCTATTCTGCAATAAGCCAGACTGGATGAAATCTTTAAGTTTTATTAACAAAAACGGTGGGTTAAACTGGTGAAAAAAAAAATCTAAAGAAAATCTACAATCAATACATGAAACATGCGATACAGTCACAGCCTACAGATAGAGTGTAAAACAAGTCCATCCCTACCCGCGATGCTGCCTTAAAGGGAATTTTGGCATTTTCTCCGAACATGTACTCAGGATGGCGCTGTATCCTCTTCTCGGTTCCAAGATGGAGTCTGAAGTCCCGGAGTTCACCTGTTTCCTTCTTCTTGGACTGGAGATTGCTGGGAACTTACCATAGAAAAACAGTCTGCTCTGTTGTAAATAGAAGTGTTTCTCTACAGCACCATCTTGTAGCCAGTTTTGAGATAGCTGGTAGATAAGTTAGTAATTACCTACCTGTGAGGGCAGAACACTTGTATTATGGCTAAATGTACATTTACTAGGTATTTACTAACTCTACAAAGTATCTTTTATATGTTGCAGAAGTAACACTGCACTAAAAATTATATATATTTCACTGAAAATATATAATCATTTTATACTACAGGTTCTTAGCTTTATAATTGTCAGACGTCCCAGGGAGCTAGTAGTGAGATGAGGAACCCACTGGCAATAAGCAGCTGACAGTCCAGAAACGCGGTACAAGTTTAGGGATAATCCAAGAGGGGTAGTCAATGTCCAATCCGGGTCGAGGCAGGCAGCGAAGGTTCAAAGGCGGAAGACAGTCCAAGGGTCGGTAATCGGGAAGGATACACAGGGGCAACAGGCAATAGGAGGATCAGCAGGGAGGCTAGGTGTTCACCATAAGGTGGAATAACTCAGCAATAAGCCAGAGCTCAGGCCAGGTTTTTATAGCCAGGGGAGTTAGGACCACCCCCTGGTCACCGAGGCAACCAGGAGGCCTCCCTCCCCGGGAACCAATGGCAGGCGAGGAAGATGGAAGGTGTGTACTGGGAACCTCCCCCAGCAAGGCTCACACCTAATAGCCCGATGATGCAGGAACGCTATGCTCCCGGGGATGCGCGCGCAGCCTGCGTACTGCGCATGCGCCCACACCACATGACTCGCGCATGCGCACCTGCACCTCGGGCACCAGGTGTTCTACCGAGCTGAAGGGGAACCCGTGCCCTGCGCCGTGCCCGTGGTCCCGAGTAGAGGTAACACTCCCTGCTTCCTGACAATAATATATTGTGTTTGGCAGTTTTATATAAATGCTTGCCAATAATGTAATTTTAATATATTTGTTAAAAAAAATTGTTCCAGCAGTGAAAGGGCTAAATATCATGGAAAGCATATCTCCAGGCAAGCAATGGAGTGCAGTGAGGCTACCCACTATTAATCTCCCCCAAACACACATGCCCAGGGGCGTTTTGAAGAACGTCCGGAGAAGGGCATGAAACATGCCGTCTAAAGGGATTCCGGGGTGTCCTGTTTGATAAAACATCGGTGATGGCTGCAGCAGAGCTCAATGTTTTTCACTGATGCCGATGTTTTATTAAACAGGACATCCCCAACATCCTGTTAGACGTACATCTGCCTGCCTGGCCCTGGATGATCTGTACATACCTCAGTGCGGGCCGTGCCGGAGGCAGGGTGTCCTTCCAGTCACCAGGATCAGAAGGCGGCACGGAGACAGAGCGGGCAATCAGGTAGCAGGGGGGGGGGTACTTGTATTATCTGTGAGTATACTTCTGGTTTTAGTCCTAAGTCCACTGTGTTGCAAAGTCCCGAGTCCAGTGCATTCCCTATGTCCCGAGTCCAGTGCATTCCCTATGTCCCGAGTCCAGTGCGTTCCCTATGTCCCGAGTCCAGTGCGTTCCCTATGTCCCGAGCTCAGTGCGTTCCCTATGTCCCGAGCCCAGTGCGTTCCCTATGTCCCGAGCCCAGTGCGGTCCCTATGTCCCGAGCCCAGTGCGTTCCCTATGTCCCGAGCCCAGTGCGTTCCCTATGTCCCGAGCCCAGTGCGTTCCCTATGTCCCGAGCCCAGTGCTTTCCCTATGTCCCAAGCCCAGTGCGTTCCCTATGTCCCGAGCCCAGTGCATTCTTTTGCTGCGGCAACACCCCTCCTGAACCACCATGGAGTGTAGACTTGAAATCACTCAAGTCTCTCCTCCATGACAGATTAGAAGAGGCACCGCCAGGAAAATAGAAGCGAGCCCAGAAGTGGCTCCTAAATTAACAAAGCAGCACTGGAGAATGAGGTGATTTGAAGGTGGATCAGGAGGGGAAAACAAAGGCAAGGGAACAGTTCATCTAGAGCAGTGGTTCTCAACCTGTGTAACCTGAGGACCCACATTTGTCCTTGGTCATTAAGTCGTGACCCAAGTTGCACTGCAATGGAATGCACGGCATTGCGGTCCTGCGCGTTCTGATGCGGGCAATTGAACTGTGGGTGGGAGGTGCATTTGGGGTGCCATTCAAATGAATGGCAATGCAATGCACTTCTCACACCAAAACGCGTGGTAGGTGCGATTACGAAGTACAGTGCGTTAATCGCACGTGACTGTGCGATTAACGCACTGTACTAGTGTGAATGGGCCCTCAAATCTCACACAGACACACTCCAAAAAAAATAAATATATTTTTTAAGATCCACCCATTCACCCTACCTTATGAGAACTGGAGTGGATCCTTAGCCTGAGGTCCGGTGTGGGCTGCTGTACTGTGATGGAGCTCCATCCATATGTGCAGTGCTTGTAGAGCTCCATTGCATGCCATGTAGAGGTGCCGAGAGCCAGTATGTTACATCAGACCGGTCCAGGTACCTCTACAGGACATTTGAGGGAGTTGTAAGCAATGCACATGGATGGAGTCCAACCTACCTCAAGCTAACACCTGGTGCTGGGCAGCATATTTTGAATGGCTGCTTGGCGCAAGAACTGACAGTGCTGTGCTAAGGGGAGGCTGAGGAGCCTCTCACCTAGAAAAGTGGAAGGCACGTGGGGACCCACTAAACACAGGGTTGCGCCTCACCAGTTGAGAACCAAGGGTCTTGAGGATTGAACTATGGATTGATTTGTGTGTGTGTGGGGGTGGGGCGCGCTAATGAAAGACTTGCCCCCGGGCGCCTCATTTTTTACACAAATAAAGCTTTCTTTTGGTGCTATTTAATTGCCGCTATTTTTAAAATATATATTTTTTTAATATAAATAAAACAAATTATATTTTCTACTTTTTGTTATACAAAATATCAAATAAAATCAAATTTCTTCCTAAAGTTAGGCCAAAATGTATTCTGCTAAATGTTTTTGGTAAAAAAAATCCCAATACGTGTATACTAAGCGGTTTATGTGAATTGGTAGGTACCAATTATAAGTCTTTTTAAAACATGGATTTTATCCATAACAACAACAAAATCGGTATTGCTCAGCGTAAAGGATTAGTTTAGGAATGATATGACTGGTATATTTTGTGTGTCTGCTAGATAAAGTCTTATAATTTGATGAAGGTGAACCCCCCTCAGTGAAAAAAAATATCTATGGCCCTGCACATGCACGAAACCTTTCTTACTGTTGATTTCTTTGCTGAGTATAATAGAGTCTAAAGAAGTCACAATCAACATGGAGAGTTCATTCATAAAGCCCATGTTATGACAAACAAAAAAAGTACCCTTGCAGTGGGGCTACCCTCTAGGGGCTGGAGTACTTTTACTTAGCTAAATCCCCCGGCAGTTAGGACTCCTCTCTCCCTCAGCTCAAGCTGGTGGAATGTCCCTCGGTGTCCTCACACATAATGTGGGACTGTTTAGACGTGATGACATCAGCAGTCCTGATCCCACTGGAGCCCAGGGGAGAGGAAGCTGCAGGGATGGGTATAGCAGGCTGAAAGCAGCCTGTGGGAGTGAGGGTCAGGCAAGTAAATCTGCTTTACTCCAGGCCATAGACAAAAACAAGCATTTAACCCTTGCAGTGCAGGGGTAGTCACACTGCAAGGGTACTTTTTTGCCTGGAGGTGGGTTGAGCTGTGTTTTTCAGGGGTTTTGGCATGTGTGTGTGCTTGGGGGGAGTGGGGAGAATCTGGAGTAGCTGGAAGATTTTGAATTTTAACATAACAATAATGGTGTTAAATAAATGCTAACTGTTATACCGTTTAACATTTCACAGTGTGTTCACACGCTTCATGTGCATTGCTGCATAAAAGAAGTTAATCCAGAATGGAGGGTTCTTATGTGAAAAACATTCTCATTCTATCATTTGGAATTTTACTTTTATACACTGCTTATATGGGACTTCAGACTCTACAGGTAAGGGACTTAAGTATCCTGGATACAATCTTTCCTAAAAATACTCTATCTCTCTCTTTCTCACTAACCACAGAATCAATCTACTAAATCTCAGCATACATCATTTTTAATCAAAATCCACAATTTGGAATTAAAAGGGGTGCATTTGTTCTCACAAATACCCATGAGCATTTACAATTGTCAAGATTAAGGGTGCCCAACTCCTGTCCTCAAGGGCATACATGTTAGGCTTTTGGAACAGACAGAATCACTTTATATAAAGAGCCACCTGTTACTTTAAGTATATTTAAAGCTAAACCTTTTATTTTATTATTTTGTATAGAATAGGGAAGGTTTAAAGCTGAATTCCAGGCAACCGTTTAAATACATCGATTAAATACATGTATCAGAGTTGTTTTACCTGCCAAAGGATTTGTATTTCTATCCATCCAGTCTAATAGCTCTGTTACACAACACAACCTTGTGTGACAGGGTAGGAGACATGATTTTCCTTTATTGCAATTCAGTAACACTTACAGGTCTTGCCCCCCCCTTCTGTGACTGGACAGTGAAAGGAGGAACAGAAGACTAGTTAGCTTATCTCTGTTACTGTGTTCTCTCCTTCTATCAGCATGTCCCTTGCTAGCACATGAACACTGCAGTACAACTGATTGGCTCATTTTGCTGCTTTTCCCTCTCTCAGTCTAAGCTCTGTTGAACAAGCACTGGAAGAGGCTGATGCCAAGTCAAATTCATGTACTTACACTGCTTGAATTTTAAATAATACAGTTCATGATTTATTAATACATACAGAGCATGAATACAGAGCTGCATTCATTTTTTTTGTTTTTTATTTGCTTTAAAACCCCTACCAGGCAGTTTTTATCCCATCATCTGTTTCCCATTAGGGAGTTTTTCCTTCACTTTATGTCCTATAGACACAGGAAGTAAGGGAAAATCTCTCCAAAATAAAGGAAACTCCTACAAAGACAATTGTCATCAGAACAAGTGTAATCTTTGAATGATTTCTACTTTATTCCTGTTCTCAAGAAAACCCAACATTTTGGACTTTCCCTCACTTTCAGTCTTGGTTGAAATGGTCACTACGACAAATATAGAAGGGAAATCTTCCCAGCAGGGTCAAATACAGAAGTAAAAACCTCACAGGGGTTCCAACCTCTCACCAGTCTTTCCAAAACTTAAAAAAACCCAAAATGTTTTTGCTTTACATACTTTGATTTAGCCTGTTCATTTGTTTAGCACAATCTTAAAATATACAGGAATCTTAGCCCCTGAGAATTGGAGTTGTTTACTGTTGGTCTACATGATGGCAACTTTGTTCAGGTATGCAACATGGTAAAATCAGGAAGGATAATGCAGGATAGCACATTTATTCAAAAGACAAGTTCATCTTTGTGAAAGAATCTGCTCAGACCCCTCCGTAGCTCTCTTAGGCCTTGTTCACACCAAATGCAGAGCAGATCCGCTCAGGTTTCTGCACACGCAGTGCCGTGGGTTGTGCCACGTTTTTGTCGCGTTTTTGATGCGTTTCGGGCCGTTTTTGGTTTTAAAATTTTTTTTTTTCCGTTTAACTTGGGCTTTCAGTGCGTTCCAGGCATTTGCATGCATTTTTGATGCGTTTTTGATGCATTTGCATGCGTTCCAGAGCAGATCCAAGGCAGGTAAAATAGGGCCTGCTCCAGTTTTTTGACCTGCTCTGGACCTGCACGCTACGATGTGAACTGGAGCTAAAAATACCATTGGAATGCATTAGATGCAGTTTTGATCCGGTCTGCAACTGCTCTGCTCTGCTCTGCTCCGCGCTTGGTGTGAACAAGGCCTTAATGCACTAACATTTGCTGTCTACAACAGGGCTCAAGAACATCTAGCCCAGACCGCCTGTGCATTAACGTCACATAGACTTGAATAGTATGTATCCATACTGCATGAACAACAGCCTATCTAAGCCTATTGGATGTTAGAGTGTAGGCACGGGTTGCCCAGCACTAGGAGGTAAGTAAGGACCTTGAGGTGAACTTGTCCTTTAAATGCTGTGTCTGTTTAGACCAATGTTTCTCAACTTGTTTTTTAGTCATGGCCCCTTTAAAAAGTATGCAAAATCTTGAGGCACCCCAAATGCAAGAAACATAAAAGCAAAAAATGTAAAAAAAAAGTGACCTAGGTAGGTACCTGGTATGGATTTTAAGGGAGGACCCAATGCAAAAATGGAAATAAAGTGGGGTTCTCCCTTAACATCAGAGTTTCCACTCTCGCACTAGGAGCCCTCGTCACAATGGAGTCCCCCCTTGCACAATTTGAGTCCCCAGTGTCCAATTTACATCAGAATCTTACAATTACAACAGGAGCCACAGCTGCGGCAGCATGGCAGAGGGTAGGATGCAGAGCAGACCTGGAAAAAGGATAACATCCGTCCTTTTCTAAATGGATCTCACCCTGCTTAGATTAGCATCAGTTCCTTCCATGGCGCCTGCCTGCACCATGGAAAGACATAATGCTGTGCAAAACTTTCGAGCACCCCTGAGGAAGCCAGAAGGAACTCCAGGATGCCACAGCACCATGGTTGGGAAAGGCTGGTTTAGACACTGATTTCATTTACTGCATGGCTACACTTTTGCAATCCACATTGGAAGATAAAGTTAAATAGCAGTGAGCATTATGTTGTAGGTAGGTGTAGCTAAATGACAGAAGGTGGCATCTAATTTTCCTTAATCTTTTCTAATCTTTCATTCTTTTTTTTAATCTTATTTTAATCTTTTTAAATTGGACTGTGTACATCAATGCAGTGGTCTTGATGAACACTACATTACAAGACAGTGGTGCAAAATGTAATAATATAGTTAATGTCTTGTATTAACACATCATTTAAGACATCAATAGTATGCATTAGCATGTGGTTACAAATGTATAGCCTACTCCTGGAAATATTTTCTGATATAAAGTATCTTTTTTCTTGATGTCCAGTGATACCATTGGTAACCAAATGGTGTGAACATCCCAGGAATATATTGGTGACTAGAGTCCACTTCCTGGTAAATAGTACTAGCTACCTAGGATTTAGTAAAGTTTGTCAACTATTTTATTATACAGTATATATGTTGTTTAGCATCTGGAAATAGTGGAGCATGTTAACAGCTCTATGCTATTAGTGCCTACGCCAAAGTGACTAATAAGTATTCTTTGAGCTAAGCCTACATAATTAACATGGATGATGTGCAGATTTCTCATAATGGAACATGCATTTATCTAAATAAAAAAGAAAGGCAACACTTTAATTGATTACGTTGTGTAAAACATTATTGATCTTATCAGTGAAAATTATTCTCTAACACCTCTTTAATAAACAATGATACATCAAGTTAAAGATTTAGTCATAATAACATACCCGAGTGTATAATATGTTTATGACTATGCATAAAAGCCCTAATCTTCTGTTGAAAAAAGCAGCAGCATCATTATTAATGTGAATGCTGTGACATCATGTATAGCATGCTATAATCAGTCACTTTTAACTTTAATAGTTCTTGTAATTTGGAAAGTGTGACATGAAAGAATTTATTCGTGACAACTAGGTGTGTTAGGCTTTACCTTTGGGCTGTTCCTGCTCTGTTAATTAATAGGTGATGCAACAAATTGCTAGAAAACTGTGAAAGAGCCTTTTACTGCTCAACTGTCAGATCTTGCAATAGCTACTAATTATATGCTCAACTGAATATTCAAGAATCTTAAATCCAGTAAATTGTATCTTTTAAAATGTGCATTTCCTATATTTTTTTACACTGAAACTAGAATCGAAAACAAACAAGTTCCTCATACTGGTTTAAATTCTATGCAATATTAACCAATATAATTGATGCCTACTATGCCTGTGATATATATTTACCTTCTTTTTTATATTTTAATAAGGCTATCATTTAGACACAAGGAAATTCTTAACAAGCATTACAAATCATTAAAAAGATTGTAATAATCATTATATTGTAATGTGGGCACCTAAAATTCAGGTTAGCAAAAATTAGATTAGGATTTTCTGAGTAACTTTATAACTATCACGTTTGGATAAAGAAAAACTGAAACTGCTGTGTTATATGTGCTTGTTTTTTTTCTATATTTAACTGTTTACATACTGTACCTGCAAAAACTGCCAACTGTCTTCTTAGAGGGTACAAACATTTATAAGAATATTAATATTAACTACTAATTATTGGTACAATGCATTTTCTGTCTGTTTCTTAAACCAGCCATAAATTATTCATGAGATAAAATCAAAGACTATGTGGGTTACTAAGAAATGTAGAGTATTGTAACAATGGTAAGGCTATTTTACATTACAGTGTTGAGCAGTTTCAAATGTACTTCTTTAGGTGAAAAAGTAAGAGATACATACAATTAAATTATATATTTCTTCTCTTCATATACAGAGTAGCCTCAATAGGATTGAAGGACTTGGTGTTGCATCACTTAGTGTGATGTACGTTTCCCTTAGTCTCTCTTCATTATTCCTGCCTCCTTTGCTCATTAAGAAAATCGGTTGCAAGTGGACCATCGTGGCTTCTATGTTTTGTTTCATTTCCTACAGCCTTTGCAACTTCTATCCAAGCTGGTATGTATGCTGTAATATTAAGGGGTGTGGAATTCCTATCACCCGACGCCCGGGACATGCAGTTCCGGGCACCGGGCGAGTAATTTTTTTCTACATTTAGCCCTGCTTCGTGCAAGCAGCAGGGCTACATGTAGTGTGGGAGCCATTGTGTACAAGTGATCTACAAGCAGCCTGATTCTCACTCCCCCTCCCCTCACTCACTTCCCCTCTCTCTCTCCCTCAGTGTAATGGTCCTGGGATCTGCTCCACGAGCCGTCTGCGTTCCACTCTGGAACGCTGCGGCCGTGGACGTAACAGGGCGCCTCCTCCCCCTGGGGGCGTACTGTTATGCGTTCCAGGGTTGAACGCGGAAGTGACGTCACGCCGCGAGGCTCCTCTTCCGCGTTCCACCAGTATTTAAGAGGCTTCTGAACCCATGGACGGCGTTCCACTATTGGGTTCATGGCCCAGCACCCCAGGAGACACTCTACACCTTCAGGAACCAGGCCATTACCCGGACCTCATTCCACCAACTTCAGACAGCATTCCTAGGAGTGCTAAGGATCATCAGAGCCACGGGGTTCAATCCCCACAACCGCAAGTAATATGTTATAGCTTTGCTGTTTTACTCTGTTGGAGTCCCTACACTGCCACATAGTGGAGCCTTTCCATATCATCTCCATATTATGCCTATGCTCAGTAACTAACAGTGTATAGTAGGATTGCCGCTGCTGAATTTGTTCTCTAACCTTAAAGACTGCCTTATGAGTTCACGCTCCCTCATTGCCATCCCTTATACGTTCTAATATTAGGAATATGGATTAATATTCCTCAAATAACTCCACTTTATCCTTTTGTTTACTCTGCGGTATATGATGTCTAAATCCCAAATTCTCCATTTGTGATTGAGAGAGCCGCCTGGGATTATAGCCTGACAACCGCAGTGCAACACCTAACGGGTTATAACCGCAGCTGAAATCCACCGCACCTCTCTGAAGTCGGGCGCATGACACTCAGCCGCTGCCTTTCTCCCCGGCCACTGGCTCCCTTACCACGATGGTCTTCGGGGGACCCCGGCAAATTAGATCAGGATGAAGAGCGGGGGTCAGAGTGGAGAAAGTCGGTTCTCTGCTCTGCTCCATGTGAGCACTGACAGGAAGGCTGCTTTTGCAGCCTTCATGTCACAGGAGAACGAGCACAGTGCTGTGCTAGAACTCCTGTTTTGGAGGTGACAGGGTCAAGAAAGAGAACCTGTCACCTCCAAATGCTATCACACAGGGGGATTGTTAGGCCTTGTTTGATAGCAATAAAGTTAAGTTAAAAACAATCCCAAAATAATAAAATACAAATTTAAAATGTTAATACATAACAATTTAAAAAATAAAAAAGTTAAACATAATAACAAATAAATAAAACTGGTAATAATAATATGTAAAACATAAAAAGACGATAAAGTAAAAAAATAATAAAAGTAAATAAAAATGAAAAAAATGAAAACTAACCCTACTGTCCCCACCATCTGCATGTGAATAAACACATGCATAGGGCATTGTGTGTGTGAGCGGAGTGGGCGATCCGTGACCACGCGGCAACCGTGCACAAAACCGCATGGATGGCCGGGTGGTCACGGAATCGCACACCACTGCCGATCTCGCTGGCAGTGCCGTTATTTTCTAATGGCACTCCAGTCCCGCCAGGTAGATTGCGCGGTTTCCCGCTGCAATCCCGCCCGTGCAATCGCGCATAATCACGGTTGAAAACACCGCATGGTGCGTGTCACGAAAAAAGGTACATGTACCTTTTTTAAGTGATTGTCACGTGGATGTGACCCCATTGAAATCAATGAGGCTGCGCGGCAACCTCTGTATGCAACCGCACATGATCGCCCAAGTATGCAATCACTCATTGGTCAGCACGGTCACCTGACGGCGCTGTCCAATGAGAAGCGCTTCTTAGCACAGCTAAATATGGTTTTGGTTAAAAAAGTTTTTTATATCGGGACAAGTCGATTGTCTTTATGGAGTAGATCAGGCCCCCGCTTTAGTCCTTGGACAAGTAGTTTTTAAAAAAATTTCCACACCCCATATATATATATATATTATGATGCACAGCAGAATTTTGCTACAATGATAATAGTAAAATAAATTAAAACATATGTATGTTTTTTCCTAAATTAAAAAAACAAGAGAGAAGATCTAAAAAATATAGTTTTACTGAATAAATGTACATTTGATTTTCTTTCTTAAGAATTTTTAAACCTGTTATTGTACTATATTTGTATAATTTAGAGTGGATCCAAATGCACTATATTTTTGTAAACCAGTATGGATCCACATCACTTATGACAAGAATTTAAAGTTTAACTGGAGTCAAAATGTTTTATTTTAAATTGTGGATCAATAAGTAGAACATAACAAAAGTGAATGTTTAACCATTCCACATGCATCTGTTGAAAAGCAGCTGACATCTCCTGTATCCAATAATTGACCAGTTGGTTATAACTGGAAACCCATTGATTTCCAACTTCCTGTTAGTATGTGACATTGGTAAACATTTACACTGAAAGAAAACATCATATGTCACCTCTCTTTCCTGATAAATCCTTCAAAATCATGGTTTTGAATACCAATGTATGCTCCACTGGGACTTGACAAAGCACACCAGTAACATGACTTAGCTTCAGCTTTTAACAGCTGATGGACAGTGGTATTTTGGAGCTTTTATTAAGCAGATGGATGGACTATAATCAATAACCTCTCCATTAACCACTTGCTGACCAGGTGTTTAGACGCCCTTCCTGGCCAGGCCATTTTTCAGTATTCAGCGCTGCGGTACTTTGACTGATGTTTATTCCGTCATGCAACGCTGTACTTAAATTAATTTTATACCATTTTTTGGGGACAGATAGAGCTTTCTTTTGGTAGTATTTAATCACCACTGCGGTTTTTATTTTTTACTATATTTAGGGAAAATTCCTAACATTATGTTAGGAAACAATTTATTACCCAATTATTTTGGTAAAATATAAAAGACGGGGTCACATCGGGTAAATAGACACCAAACATGTCATGCTTAAACATTGCGCGCACCCGCGAAATCGCAAAAAACTACCATACTCAAAATTGACCATAGGCAACGCTTTAAAAGCTTTTACAGCTCATCAGTTTAGTGTTATCAGTGATTGATGGCCCTAAAATGATTGCCCTCACTGCAACGTTCGCGGCTATATGTAACATGTGCGGCGTAATGGGCGCAATCGTTGTTTTTGCAGGCATGCGCCCCTGACGCATGTTTGCATGCGTGTATGTATGGGTGGGAACTTTACATTTTTTTTTGTTTTTTTTAATTCTTTTTTTGTTGTTTTTATATTCTTTATTTTTAATTTTTGCATACAACAAGAAAAAAGGGTACAAGAACATACATAAAACAAAAGTTCTCTCCATTACATGTGGATTGACATATAGCATGCAAGCGCATCCCGTATCCAGGACTCAGTAGGTAGCGTGGGATAAGGTTGTCAACCTGCTGTTGCCCTTCAACGAGCCTGGGCCCGTGGACCTTAGTATGCAGGACAACATTCTAACTCTTCCAACACAGCGGTATACAAGCTCTGGCTGCGTTGATTAGGTGTATCAGCAGGGATTTGCGGTATCGGCCTTAGGCAGTGGGGACAAGTGGAGCAGCATAGCGGCTGGGTCACCCACCAGAGACATTCCAGTGAGTTGGTGGATTATCCGAAGGACTGCATCCCAGAACTCCCAGAGACATCGACAGGACCAGAATACATGTAGAATGGAGCCCTCCTCCTGACCACATCTCCAGCACGTCGGAGGCGTCTGAGGGAACATTTTGTGGAGCTTGGTTGGGACATAATACCATCTAGTGAGCAGTTTGTAGCCAGTCTCCTGTATGGAGCTAGCTATCGAGGCCTTGTGGGAAAAGTGAAGTATTTAATCCCTTTGGGTTTGGGTGAACGTAGTGTCTAGGTCTTTTTCCCACTTAGCCAGGAAGCCAGGTTCAGTCTGGTCGGCTATCTGTGTCGTGAGGGCGTAAGCCTTGGACAAGCCATGATCCACATAGCCACCTGCCAGACAGACGTCCTCAAATGGTGTCAGTACTGTACGTGGAGGTGGGGACACGTTGAGTCTAGAAAGATAGCTGCGGAGTTGTAGAGCCTGCCAACGAAACAGTGGAGGAGCAATCAGGTCTCTAAGTGAGTCTAGGTGGGTGAAATCCTCGATGGGTTGGAAATGTCCAATCTGGAAGCGGTTAGCTTCCACTAAGCGCATGAAGGAGCCGTCGGTGAGACAGGGAGCGAAGGCTGGATCACCCACTATTGGCGACATGAGAGAGTGCGTGGTACTGTCTGGCAGTAGAGCGGGTGTCTTCTTAAGCATTCGTATCGTGACACCGGTAAGTGGGTGTTGTAGTATTTCCCTGGTCAGGGGCGACGCGATCCAAAGCAGTCCCGTCAACGGTAAGGGGGAGATTGCCTGTTCAAATTGCAGCCAGCGTTTGTCGGAAGACACGTTGCACCATTCGAAAGCACGGGCCATATGCACGGCCAGGTGATAACGAATGGGGTCTGGAAATCCGATCCCCCCTCTAGATTTGGGCAGTTCCAGTAGGGACTTGTTCAGTCTATGGGCACCGTTCGCCCACAGGAAGGAGGTGAACTCTCTCCGCACTAACTTCAGAAATGACATGGGGATGTGTACTGGTAAGGTTTGGAACAGGTAGAGTAATCGTGGGAGGATATTCATTTTCAATACGCTGTTCCTCCCGAAACAGGAGATGGTAAGACCTGACCACTTGGAGAGATCGCGTCTAAGTTCGGAGAGCAGCGGTGGGAAGTTAAGTTCAAAAACCCTGGCGACTGATGCGGGCAGTTTCGTCCCTAGGTAGGTGATGTGTGAAGCGGACCAACGAAAGGGGAAGGCCGCTTGGAGGCCCATGAGAGGGTAGTGGGTCACCGTGAGGTTAAGTGCCTCGGATTTCTGATTGATTTTGAAGTTGGAGGA